TAATTAATTTGCGAATATTACAAGTTAAAATATTTTACATGCACAATTAATTAATTTCAAGTTTTTCGATCAAAGTTTAACTATATACTATGCTTAATTATAATCATTAAAAATGTTTGTATCATTTCAATACATGTCGATGTTCGTTATTAAGCGCATGTTGTTGAATATGATCGATAATTCTTGTGATAGTTGAATATAGATTTTTATTGCAATTTCTATATTTATTTGAATTAAATGTGTGTCTGAAAATTTGAATTTTGAATAATCAGAATTGGGATTTGTGAATAATAGAAGTTTTTAATTTAATATATATATATTTTTAAAATATTATTTCAGAAATCTCTCTTATGTTTACTTTTAAGAATAATATTATAATATAAAAATTATATTAAGTTTTAAATAAAAATAGGATTAGTAAGTTTATAAGCATGAAATGAGTGGAAAAATAAAATAGAATACTTTGTTGTTCAATATATTTGATAAATTCATATACTCCCTCTCCACAACTAATGTCATACTTTCCTATTTGGGACGTCCAACAACTATTGTCTTATTTTTTTTAAACATAAATTTTACATTTTTACCCTTAATTCATTTATTACTTTTAATCTCTACCATTAACTTAAGGGCAAATTTGTCCATTCATAACAAAAAGACAATCACCTAAAAAATTGTGCAAATATATTTTAGGACAATAGAAATTGGACAGAGGAAGTATTAGATAGTACGGTAAATATGCATTATGTTAAAAAAATTATTTATTAATGTGTTGAGACTATTAATATACAATTAGTAAATTGTGGTTATTTGATTAAGAAATAATTAATCTTAGTATAAACTTATATTGAAGATTAATAATTAAAATATAGAACATTTTGGTCCCACCAATTTTGAATATTTATGTGTTGTTTTGTGTGTATATTATTTTTATTTTTAATTTTGATATTTTTAATAAAAAAATTTATTCAATATATAAAATAAGGGTTATATTTCTTGGTTTGTTTGTGGGTTTTCAAAATCGAATTTTATTATTTATTACTCTTTTTCTTCTTATAAACATCAAACAAAGAACACATATTTTTATTTTTATATTATATTAAAAAGTGATTTTATATTCAAAATTTTATTTTTTCTATTTATGTTATATCAAACAATTAATTCAATTTAAAGTTTTAATTCAAAATTCTAAATCTCAAATCCACAAACATGCATAGTACATTTTGGAGAAAAATATACTCTAAATAAAGTTTCGATCGAACCTAATAGTTTGTAAATTAAATCAACAAGACAGTCAACTAAGCGTCATATGTATATAACACATAAGATCAAGTAGCAACAAGAGATTCCAACATCGAAAAAAAAATAAAAATAATAAAAAAAAAAGATTCAATGTATACAAAATTAGGTTTAAAAACACAAAAAATAATAAAATATTCAATACCCCTATTAGTATAGTATAATATAAAAATAATGACATTTGTGTAATATATTGTAAGTTGAAAGGGTATTTATTATGTTAGGTAAGTAGTATAATTACTAAATTAGAAAATGACAACCTTGTTTTGAGACGGACGAAAATGAAAAAAAAAAAAAAACATTTTAATAGGACGAAAGGAGTATTAAAACTATGACAATATATATAAGCTCAAATTAATTAATTAATTTTTTTTTAAAACATGCACATGAACTATTATTTAAATAATTTTGGAATATTATTCTAAATTAAATCTACTGTTGGATTCACTCCTATATTTATATTTAAATTTAGTTACTCCTTCCGTCCTATTAGAACGGTGACATTTGTATTTTACACGTATATTTTTTAATATTAGTATTGTATTGGATTGTAGTAAAAAAGACAAAAATATCCCTATTAATATAGTGTAATATAAAAGTAATAATATTTGTGTAATATATTGTAAGTTAAGAGGGTATTTATTATGTTAGGTAGGTAGTACAGTTATAAAATTAAGAAATAATAACCTTATTTTGGAACGGATGAAAATAGAAAATAATAACCTTTCAATGGGACGGAAGGAATATTTTCTTTTACTCCCATTCTATGTAAATTTTCAAGTTTAGTAGTATCATAAAATGCTAATTATATACATATATATATATATATTAAATTGATTGATTGATCCACTCTGGGACAGGATGATACATGTGAATTCAATCCAAAAACATTAAAAATTTTAAAAAGATCATGTGATATTATTATTTATATTGATCAGAAAGGAATATGTATTTTATGTAATTTAGTGACATATTGCATGTACCTACTATTTTTATTTTTATTTTTTAAAAATTATAATTTATAATTTAATATTATGAAATTAACTGATTTATTACTCCCATATATATATATAAACCATTACCAAAAAAAGCAAGATGAACATAATATAAAATAAATGGCCGTTTGAACTTTGAATGTTATATTTTACAAGAGAAATTAATACATTTTAGAAAATAATATAGTAAACTAAACTCTAAAAAATAGAGAGGATACCAATGTTTGTATATATATATATATATATATTTTAGCACAATAAATTTATATCATATTCTTAAAATTTTTATTTTATTTTGATGAATATTTTCTCTCTAATATATTATTTGATATCGCAAAAACAGCTCAAAACTAGTGCAATTGTTTCAAAGAAAAAAAAAAAAAAGAAGCTAAAAAAATTTATTATTGAATTGCTCGAAACAATTGAGGAGTGTATAAAATCAATTACTCGATTCAATCAATGAGTTAATTAAAAAATAAATATTTGAATTTCTTAAATATATCTTTTGAGATATATATATATTTGAGATTCTTGGAAGAAGAGATCGAAGAAATACCAAATTTCTAGAGGTTTTCGATCATCAATGTATCTAAATTTTGTATAATTCCTTTCATTGTTTGAAAATATCTTGAAATGTATAATAATTCGATATAGCAATACTACTTTCAATTATTATTATTATTATTATTTTAAATAAAAATTCTACTTTAATGCTCTTATAATTTCTTAACACGTAGAAAACAAAGAAAGCTAAGAGCCTAAAGAAAAAAAAAAAAATTAATTAAAAAAATAGAAAAGTATTATGCTTTGAAATGTCCCTTTTTTTTTTTCCCCTTGATTGCCAACTACCCTTTTCATTAATATTATTGTTATAATATTTTTTTATTTAAATCATGCAAGGATTTTTAATTTTTTAATTTTTTTACTATAAATAATATAAGGTTAGTCAAAAGATTTTATTATACTAAGTGTATGGTAGAGTAGTTGCTATAAAGTATATAGTAATAGTATTCTATTTTTAGTTTATTTATTTTCCCTTAGTAAGCAAGAAATATTAAAGAGATAAAGAGAGTGTTCTCATTGCCAATTCGATACAAATTTTAATGCTAACTTTAATCTAAATAAGTGCAAAGTGTAGGGTTGGTATTCGGGACAAAATCGTCGATCGAGCATCTTTTCTTTACTTATCTTTTCTAGTAGGTATTATTTTTCTAGGTATACTATCATATTTTAGCTTAATTTTTAGGTATATATACGGGTAGCTCGTAGATGTATTAATTACAATCATTAGAGATCGATTCATAATCAATCGCTAAGTCATACTTAGAAAAAATCGATTCACATGGAATGGTATAGAACTTATATATGGATAATGTACGGTGGTATTACATGTCGTGAAATAAATTATGTGGTCTCGACAATTGTCTAAAAATATAATAGTATAAGGTATAATGTGATATTTGGGGTTTAATTTTTATTCTTTTCTTAATACAAGGAGAAAAAAATATATGAAAATCAAAATGTTGATGGATCTAATATATATCTACTCATAGAAGACTTTTATTGTAAATATAGTATAAATAATTTAGGGTTTGTTAGATATATTAAAAAGTTAAATAGGAAATAGAGGTATGAATATGATGTGTTATAAATAAGTATTTAATGTAATATTTATTTTGATTATATAGAATATATTTTTTATGTAAATTTTTTAAATGAAAATTAGGAGTTTGTTTGGGACCATGAGTTTTTGTTTAATCGTAATTAAATGTTAATGGATCTAAGTTTTGAATGTCGATTTTCTTTTTTTTTTTTTTTAAATAGTTGTTTTTTTTTTTAAAAAAATAAATAGTGCAAACTAAAACAAGTGTGAATACATAAATAAACATATATATATATATATGTAGCATTACTATATGTTTTTATTTTTTTCAAATAAGAATATGTATATATATATTGAGAAAATTAGTTGAACCAAACGTAGCTACATAAAGCATAGTATGAGTATCACGTAACTATTACTATATATAAATTTCATGATGGATTAGGACTAGCTGTCATTTTATGTCCAAGCCACAAGTTTTGTTTCCAATCCAAGCATTCAACAATATCATTGCAATCCCTCTCTAAAAAAAAAAAGAAAAAAAAGTTGTAATTTTTTTGAGATTTGATTTTAATTTTTTTATTATACAAATATCACATATATATTTTTATAAAAAAACCATTTCATCTTACGAAAGTAGAAAAGAAAACATCCAAACTATATATATATATATCAATCGATGTGTTAGGTTTATGTACATGACTATATTTAAAAAATTATTCAATAGAATTTACCTCTGTTTTGTTTAGATAGAGACTTTTGAGTATTTTAAAATAATTTAAAATAATAAAAATTTAATATTTAATTTAATATTTTATATATATATATATATATATAATTGATAGAGACATTAAAAAACACGGTTCCAAAAACCCCAAAAATGTGTGCAAACAAAGCCTAGTATATTTTTATAGTAGGAAAAAAAAAAATTATATACTAAAAGAATTTAAATAATTTCAAGAAAACAATATAAATAAGCACTTTATAATTAATTAATTAATTAAGCCGTAATGAAACCGCGTCCACACTTTTTTTCTTGGCTTCGCATTGTCACTTCCTTACACACACACATATGCTACATATATATATATATATATATCTCTACTAAGTTCGACGAGTGACACTCAAAAATGGCTTCGTCGTCTCCAATGCTCCTCCTCTACACACTACTGCTACTTTCGCTCTCCTCTCTCGCTCTAACCCTCCAACATAACGCCAACTTTTCTCTCTCTTTCTCTCTATTCTCCTTCTCTCTCTCCCAATCAAACCTCTCTTCCATGGCCGCCGCCGTCGCCGCCGGAAAATTCTCCAAGAAGGATTCTCCGCCGTCCGATTACATCTACCAATCGCGGTTCAAATATTCAATGGCTCTGATCGTTTCCCTCCCAATCGGGACCCCGCCCCAGGCCCAGCAGATGGTCCTCGACACCGGCAGCCAGCTGTCCTGGATCCAATGCCGGCGCCGGAAATCCCCGCCGGCGGCGACTTTCGACCCCTCCCGGTCGTCGTCCTTCGCCGTGCTCCCCTGCAACCACCCCGCCTGCAAACCCCGAATTCCCGATTTTACCCTCCCCACAACCTGCGACCAGAACAAACTCTGCCATTACTCCTACTTCTACGCCGACGGAACCCTCGCCGAGGGCAATCTCGTCACAGAAAAATTCGCCTTTTCCGGCGGCCGGAAAGTCACACCTCCTCTAATTCTCGGCTGCGCCGGCCCCGCCGCCGCCGCCGCCGAGGGCATTCTCGGAATGAACCTCGGCCGCCTCTCCTTCGTCTCTCAGGCGAAAATCCCAAAGTTTTCTTACTGCGTCCCGCCGCGGCAGGGCGGCGCCGCCGGCGGGAAATTCTACCTCGGAGAGAATCCGAACTCCCGGACCCTAAAATACACGAGCCTGTTGACCTTCCGGGGGAGTCAACGGAAGCCGAATTTCGACCCGTACGCCTACACCGTCGGTCTGGTGGCGATAAAAGTCAACGGGGCGGCGCTGGACATACCTCCGGCGGTGTTCCGGCCGGACGCCGGCGGGTCGGGGCAGACGATAATCGACTCCGGCACGCAGTACAGTTTTCTGGTGGACGGCGCGTACGAGAAGGTGAGGGCAGCGGTGGCGCGTGTCGCCGGCGGGAGGATGAAGAAAGGCTACGTTTACGGAGGATCGTTGGATATGTGCTTCGACGGGGAGGCGGAGGAGATCGGACGGCTGATACGGGAGATGGTTTTTGTGTTTGAAAACGGGGTGGAGATTGTGGTGGGGGCCGAGGGGGTGACAGCTGGCATGGGAGGTGGGGTCCACTGCGTGGGGATCGGACGGTCAGGATCGCTCGGAGTCAGCAGTAATATTATTGGCAATTTTCATCAGAGGAATCATTGGGTGGAATTCGACGTGGCCAATAAGCGCGTGGGTTTGGGTGTGGCTGATTGTACCAAAGAAATTTGAAATTTATATTTTATTTTGTTATTAGGGTATGTATTTTATTTTATTTTATTTATTGATTAGTTACATTTAATAACAATTGACCTGTGGTTAGGGTAAATTGGTTGCTTTATGGAAGATGTCACAACATAGGGCATGAAATTCTTGCTATGGATTATGGACTCTATAATTTTACCTTTATTCACAATAGGTTCATGACACTTGTGCTTATCAATTTGCAATTTTCTTTTATTTTGTCTTTTCAAAAATAATAAAAATTATGTTTAATATAAAGTATATAAATCAATTAGGTTAGATGATTGATCAGGTGATGTTGATTTGACTTGACTCAATCTGCATATATAATTAAGATAAACAATATATATTTTTATATAATATAATATATAATCGTGTCATATATATATATATATTATAACGTTGGTTGATTCTTGTTTGTAAGATAAATAAATAAATGATGCGTATTATAGTACATATAGTTTAAGTTTTCAGGTGAGACGATCATTTATATCATTTAGCATAGTATTAGAGCATTATGTCTTGAATTGGAGTCTCACGGTCCCTCGTTTGATTCGATTTTGGATTTTAGGGCTAAATTCGAAAAAAATATATAAATAAATAAAATGTAATTGTATCCCTTTTTGTCATTTTCTCTTTTGCCCTTTTTCGGATTCATGCTTGCTGTTAATCACTTTAGTATAGACAGTCTTGAACAATCCACCAGGTTCCATCAATTTCAAATTAATTCATTGATCAATAAATAAAAATCATTTTTCTTTTTTCCATAGAAATAGTATGAAATATATATATATATATAGAGAGAGAGAGAGAGAGCTGCATGTATATATATATATATATATATAGAGTGAGAAAGTTGTACGTATGTATGCAAAGTTGTTGGGATCCTAACAGAGGAAGGAATTATTTGCGTGTGTCTCTGTTCACATCATCGTAATATGTATCTTTGTCGAGTTTTGACTTCAACCACAACTTTTTCATTTTATTTTATTTATTTTTCTTAAATTTCTTTTATTATTTTTTGTTTTTTTGTGTAAATTTGTCACCATTGTTGCTGTAGCCAGCTATAATAAACAATCACAACTTGGGACCTCGATACACGCCCTTGAAGATTATATGTATATATATATATATATATATAAATATTTTTTTTGTAAAACTTTATTTTAGAAATAATGGTAAAATAATAAATACAATTAGTAACAAATTTCAATGAAAAATATATATATTTTATATGGTATAATAAGTATTGCATGTATATTTTAAATTGAAAAAACATTTTTATATAATAATTTAAATAAAAATTAAGTATTAGATGAAATACTTTTTTAGATTATTTTTTTTTTGAATGATCATAAAGAAAATAAAATTATCTAAATTGGGTTATTATTAATTTATTTTATACGATATGATTAGGCCCAATATGTTTTTTAGGCCCACGACATACATAGAAATATACTACTATTACTTATTATTTTTTATAAAACAATAATTATTCAAGTCAAAATCTAAAATAAATTCTCAAATTAAAAAACTTATGTGCGGAGGTGAAGTACAGACAAAACTTAGAGACGTCGAGGGTTTGAATTTATGAGTGTGCTTTTTTTTTTTTGGATTTGAAAATTGAATTTGAATTTTGAATAGTATATATTTTGACTCAGAATAATTATTTTATGTGATATTAATAAGTATTAAAATAATATTTAAATATAAAATTAATTTTTAATATAATATAAAAAATATAAAGAAATTTGATTTGATATTTTTAGAATAAAAAAATCACTAAATAGTAAAAAATGTTGAAAAATAAAACCCGACATTTATTTTAATTTTAGTAGCCAAAGAAGACCTAAATTTGCAATTATGATTGATGCAAGAAAAATTTGTAAAACCATCACAAGCACAAATGGTCCAAATTTGGACACATAAGATGGATTATGTAATAAGAATGGTCATGGAAAGTGACCCAATAACTTTAGGGTGTGTTTGGATATAGCTTGACTTGAATCTTATATTAAAAATAAATGTACATAAATATATTATTATTTAAAATATTAAACATCAAACTTATTATATATATATTTTCTAGATAGCTAGTTTACCAATTTAGTTATTTGAGTACAATTTACATTAAAATAATCTTGTATACATGGTCATTCAATTATTCATAAATTAAAAATAGTTATGCCAAAAATATTATTTTCAAGATTTTTCTATAACTTTAAAGGGATTTACTATTGTAAAATGAATATCTCTTTAATCACATTAAATAATTATTCAAATTTAAAATTTTATTTTTTAAAACTTAAATCTAAAATCCAAATCCCAAATGACAAACACTCTAAAGAATCTGAACTTTGCCAACTAGATAAGCACACACATATATATATATATATATATATTAGTCTAAAGACTTTAATTTGCCAAGAACTTCCTCCATTGAATATTGATTCGACCACTTGTATCTCTGATGACCATAAGATAATATACCACCTCTATCTTTTTTCCTTTCCTTCTTTTTCCTTATATAAATTGTTCTTAAACTTTAAATTATTAATTTTATTTTTCATTATCATATAAAAATAATTCAACTAGAAACACATAAGGTCAAAAGGAATATGCATGGTTTTTATCTAAAAAATTGTACCATAATCAAATCAAACGAGCTTATTTGGATGAGGACCATGAGATAGTATTAATTCGATGCGCATCCTGACTGATTCTTCCGGGTGCGGATAACGTTCAAACATTGGTGACAGATTATTCAAAGTGCTTACCGATATAGTTGGATATAGTTGTGTGATTGCTGTTTTGGTGTTTTTGATTTGCAAAAACAATTATATTAAAATCATTGATAATAGTAGATGAATCATGAGTTGGTACTATCAGACGTAAGTCACGGTTAGACTGAATTGGGTGAACAAATCGTGTGTTCCATCTTCTTTTTTATTTTCGAATTGGGTGAACAAATTGTTTCTTCTATCTTCTTTTTATTTGTTAATATGCTTTAAATCTAGTTTGCTACTTCGCTGAGTTTTTACGCGGGGTAAGGGGGGCGAAGTCCTCCTTCTCTGGGTACAGGGTGCGGAGTGGCCCCCGACCCGACGGTATGCAGTATTGGGCTGAGCCCGTCTGATATATTTTCTTAGTTTATTTGAATAGACTTAGAGATTTCTGTCATCTGTAACTTAGCCATCCTCGATAAATTTGTTCTCCGTTTCTGTCTGTGGACGTAGCTAAAACGTTGTTGATGAACTACATACGTCTATGTCTTCTTTAATTTTGTTTTTGTTTATTATTCGATCATTAATCTTAATCCGTTACAACTTTATTTTTTAGTGGATTGTGTGATTTATTTACTAGTTGTTTGATCGACGGACAAACCACCGACTCAAGTTGTGCTGATCAGTCCAGTGAGTTTGGTACCAACATTTTCAATGGAATTAAAGGGTAGAAAAGGAGAAGTAGACATGTACTCAATTTGTTGTGTTATCATATGTAGGAAGTCGTAGTCATTTGGGCCACAAGAACCATGTAGTTAGGGTAAGAGATATTAATGAAGTTTAATTTTTTAATTGTTGGCTTTTGTCAATTTCGAAAGCAAAAATGTCCAAAAATATAAAATGATAAAGTCCATAGAATTCCTATATGGTCATGAAACGTGTACCATATCCATTTTCATTTATTGCGTTAAATTTATATATCTTGTAATTTCATGAATTTGTTATTTATATAAATGTAAATTCTTATTTCAGGATAATCTTTTATTTTGGTTTTGTATTTGATATTTTTATTATTTTTTTTAAATTTTATCTGTTATTTAATACTATGAGATTTTTTGGGGAAAAAAATATTTTTCATGAATAATAAATATTCGATCAAAAAAAGAAAAAAAGAAACTTAAACTAAAGCAATCCTTATTTTATTTATGATCTTTTATTTTATTTTCAACTCAGGTGAGGTTCATATCAAATAATATAGATTAGAGTCTCTCAACATTGCCTAAATTTAATAATCCTACAAAAAATTGGATTTTTTAGTTTCATTCTTTTCTTTTTTTTTTTTTGTTAAAAGATTTTTTCACTATAATATAACTATTTCCCAGAAAAAATATTTTTAAAGAAAATTTCCATTTTTTTTTAGTTCAAGTTGATGTGTTTTCAACCATTTTTTTCCCCAATTCACATCGAAATTTTTTATTTGCTAGTGAATTTGCTATAGTCTTATTATTTGATCTTCAATAAACGTATAAATGTTAAGATTTTATTAATTTGAAGTTTTATTTCAATTTTTATTATATAAAAGTATACTATTTCATATTAGAGAATATTATTACCAAAGGACTTTTTAAAGCCAAAGTTTAAAATTAATTCACAAAATCAAACCCCAAGGAAACTAATAGACCTTGAGCGTCTTTCATTCAATTTATTTTTTATTTATTTCCACAAACAAAGCTTGAGTGTAGAATGATAAATACAAAATGATTTATCAACGTTCTATGTCACACTAATTCTTATCAATTACACTAATAAAAATAAGAAAATCAATTACATATAGCATTATATAAAAATTAAATTTAACCCCAACTTATTCAATAGTGTACAAAATACCAAGAAGATTCATGTTGTAGTAAATTGATACAACTAATTTCATGATTAAAACAAGTTTATACTACGGTTAAATCTACCAACTTATCTAGTTTGACGAGTCCCGAGAGATCGAAGGTTGTCGCCGGCAACCAAAACCTTCCATTTTCACCAAGAGTCGATTCTTTTCTTGTTTAGGACGATTAGGGTTTTCACTTTTCACTACATCATCTATAGACGAACGACATGCCATACCGTGTTTTAACCAAAACCACCTTGGCAAATTCTTCTTCAGGACAATCTTGGTTTTCCTTCCTCCTATTCGCTCTTTGGATTCACATCCATTGATCTTACCATGGTTAGACTCTATGTAATAATCGAGATACCTTGAAATCCATTCTATCTCATAACTATCAAGAAGAGTATTGTTAGCGCAATAACTACCATTGAGAATCAAATTAGACTTCACCGTATCATAAGGCGCATCAAATGCTTCCGGCGTTCTTCTCAAGACTTCAAACTTTTGCTTCGATGGATTAGGGCTCTCGAACCCATTGATTGACCTTCGATTGGATTTTT